TTTGAAATTTTTTCATTTTAGACGATTCCATCAATATTTCAAACGTGTATGAATGTTTTAACAAATGAAGAACGTCAAGCATTAGCCAACGCATTAAATACACCAACAGCAACATCTTCACAACCTGGACCTACAAATCACTTCATGAATCATCATGCCAATGTTTAAAATAAGAAAAACTGCTTTCTTCTTTTTTTATTTTTTTCGCTTGTTAGCACCCGGTTGAATATAAGTGACACCAACTCGGTCACGTCTTTGTTTTGTTTGTTTTGTTAAACGAGAACACTTATGTTTAAGAGAAGAAAAAATAAATAAAAACAAGCGATCTTTATCATATCTTAATCAGTTTCTAGCAAACAAGAATAAATAAAATTTTCAAAATGACATTTACTTCTAAAAATTAATTGTCTTTATCTCACGTGATAATTAAAAAAACTACATATCCATGTCTTTCTAGTATAATTGAAAGTGACTTGATTGAAGAACTAATCATTTTATTAATTTTTCAGCGCTAAATGAAGTCAACGATTCAAAATATTAACATACTACAGAGTAAACTACTGTTGGACATGGAAACAACAGAGAAAAGAAAGATATCGGCGCGTTTATCATAATGGTTAGATTAAAACAAAGTTGACATAGACACCATTTACTTTGAATTAAGAGTTATATGAATAGTGATAAATTTTCTTCGTAAAAAATAACAAACACATTAAAAAAGTAGGATGCTATTTTAAAATGCTGCTTCATTTAATTGTTTCTCGCTAAAACTACAATTTCGAAAATGATTTTCTTCAACATTTGCATTTAACAAATTTACTTTAGTAAAATTGACTGCAGTAAATACACATCTTTTACATTGAATCTGTTGCCAATTAGCTGCAAATAAATTTACTTCAGAAAAGTTGCCATGAGTTATTTCACTCAATTTCATTGATATTTTTATCATTTTTGATTGTTGTTAAATGTACTATTTGTTATTATTCCTTAATCAAATATAGCTTCACTTAGATCTGCTTTTGAGAATTGACAATTTTCCAAATGAATATTTTTTGCTGTCACCAATCTCATATTTGCATTATCAAAATCAACACTAGGACCGATATTAGACCTGTGAAAATTTCCTCCCATTAGATTGACAAATGAAAATGATGATTTTTCAAATGCTGAATGACTTAAATCTGCACGCGTCATATTGAAAGACATGAAAAAACATTGACCACATATAAAAAAATTATAAATTAGCACCAGCCATATATGCATGATCAAATGAAGCTCCGTCATGTGCAGAACTCAAAAGCGAATTCGATGCTTAGTTCGTATTTTGAAAGCTTAATTTGTGCTGATTAGTCTTATCACAAGTTTTATTATCACATGCCCACATATTGAAGCTCGAAGAAAGATCAGCATTATAAAGTATTGCTCGATCAAATCTAACACCACCAATAATCGTGGCACAAAAGTTAGTTTTTGTCATCACTGCACCTTCAAATGAAGCATATTGTAAGGGTGATGAACGTGATTGAGTAGTGAGATATATATCAGTTAAATTAGCTGATTCGAGGGAAATTACCGAATAACAATAAGGTAACTGACAAGTTATTAATCGAGCTTCGTATAATAAATGTATAAGAAAACTTCGTCGAGTAGAATCAACAGTTGATCTATTGCCGTAAGCATAGTAAAACGTGAAGCAGATCGGGTTCTATTTAGTCGTATGCTGTACTTTTCAATCAATTTACTTAATGTATTTTGACAAGAATGAAGAATTGAATCTTTCTCTTAGTTTTCGGCTATATCAAGATTTTGCATAAGATTATATAAAGCAATGTCTGCATTACGATTGTTGTTCAACAGTGTATAAACGGCAATAGAAAATGTAACAACGAATTGAAGCCATTCAAAACATGAATGATTTTCTTGTCTCCTTCTTCATCCTTGAGTTAACAAATGATCAAATGCGATTACAAAAGTTTACTATATATAATTAGTAAGTTTGTCTAAGATAAAGAATTAACAATTTATGATAATGAATCATGCCATATCGAATTTATTCTATCAATATTTTGAATGAATCATGATGCAAGTTTGTTTAGTGTTAACTTTGTGTTGTACGTCAAACGAAGTACTGTCAAAATAATTTTACAAAACGGTGCAAATCTTGCCGTTTTTAATCAAATTTTCTAGTACATATAGTTATGGATGAATAGTTCTCGTAGAAGGAATGAATAGTAGCCATGCTTTTTGACTAACTTTCGGTATGAGTTGCAATCTCATAACAAACCTATCAACCGTAGTTCTTGAACAACAGATCACTCTGGAATTAAGTACAATCATTTTACTAATTGAACTCGTTGTACACAAATGATAATCACATATCATTGGCAAAAGCTCATATATCTTCTCACACAAGCAGCACTCTGTCAGTGACATCATTCGAAACAAGGAAATATTAGTGATTTATTCAGTGAAATTTCATAGCTAGTGATCTCCAGCTTGGAATAGAGTACTTTTTAGTTACGTACCAAACATCGAAAACAAAATAGCCCGTAGCAACTTCATAGTGTTCTGAACTAACATACAAAGCTTTGATCTCTGTGTCACCAGTAATGTTTTAAATCACTTTTTTCTGTTCATTTGAGAGCTGAGACAAATGATAAGGTTTTCTTTACTCAGATCTTTTGGACTTTATCTTATAACTAATTAAATTGGGATACAGCAATATTCTTCAAATGACGTACGTTCATATTCGTAAGTAAAGCGCAATAGTTCAGACGATTCGATTTCGTGATACTTCGTCAATTTCACTGTGGCCAATCTTGGTTTCTATTTTTATTCTACTACTTTTCACGTTATTTGTTCCATTTTATTCTCGCTTCGTAGCTTTGCAATCGATAATTGTCAATCATGTCTACTCTCATTTACTTAGAGAGATTAATCGTTCGATGATATATTTCATATACGTATATAGGACGAAATATTAGAAAGCTCTCATAACTGACGAGTTGACTATTTGTGCTGTGTGAACATGATCTGGAAAGATTCATATACTAATAGGCAAAAAAATTATTTGAACGTTTACTTATGCACATTTCTATATCAATTAAGAACTCGAACAAAAAACAAGCTGCTCATGTGCAGAATTATTTTTCGTATCAATTCATTTTATTTTCTTGTATATGCATAATACGGACGGTCATATTCCAAAGTAAACCGAGAGATTTAAGAATTAATTAGCTGTTAAAGAGCTATTTCAAGATATCTAAAAACCAATGTTTTTCCGATCTCAACGATAGAAAATAGAATTTGATTTGAAATAAAATAACTGTAGATAGTCCGTATTCGAGTGATTATCTACTCGATTTTTATCATATCAAAGGAATTAAAAATAAAAATGGCTGCCTCATATCTCCGCATAATTAATTTATTCTTCTTTAATTGAACTATTCTCATGACCATCCGTTTAGTTTATGCATGGTTTTGACTGATACGAATTGAAAAGAACCGGTTTCTTTTAACCATTACATTTTTGCTGATCCATTACAGATATTAGTGAGTTCCAGAAATAAATGTTCATACCCAATCAAATTAACATTGAATTAGAACAGAGTATTCCAGCAAAAGTTAATCATATCAAAATTAAAAAAACATTGATGAATTAGATTGAATTATTCAATCATTAATTTCTGTGTTTCAATTGATGTTGTCTTAAAATAATAATGATTTTTTTCTATTTCTTCATCGAATGAAATAGCTTAATTCGACAACTCTCTGTTAGATTTATCTTTAAACTGCCTTCATTTGTTGACTTTAATGATTCTATTCGATAAGTATTCGTGATACTCTTCGTGATAAAATACATTTTATATTGATTAAAATTTTTCATTACCATATCTTTTACAAATTGTGCCGATTCATTCACTTTTCTATGAATCATTGGCATCAATTTGCTTTTATTCATATGAAACAATTTTTATTGGTATGTCTTATTTGTTAGAATAACTGTCATGAATAGCAAACAAGAGCTTTTCGTATTGAACAATTTCTTTCAGTGATCATTCTTATTTGTGTTTAGAAATATCGACGAAATTTTATTGTTCAAAAATTTTATTGTTTATCCAATCTAGAATAAAATAAAATAGAAAAGGAATCAAACAAGAACACATTATATCCATGAAATTTTATCGATGTTATTTAATAATGACATGTCTTGTAGTTTACAAGAATTGAAAGAGAGGAAAATATGTGAACAGATGATAAGTATAACTGATTACTTGACGGTCACTTGGTTCAATATATAGATGTAAGGATGCATTCACACGCGTAGACACTCATATATGTCAGTCCTTGATCGATGCATCACTAGAGTATATTGTGACAGTTGATTAGAGTGGGCCTGTCATCATTAACTGACTACTTTAGAGTTGCTGATGTTAACACACATGCTGCTATCACCATTTATTGAACTCTTGAGATAAAAAGAAGAAGAAAAAGAAAAAGTAGAGTCATTTGTAACGATCGCTTTGTTTTTGACGTTAAGTGTATGAAAATGTAAGGTCACGAGTCGTCAATCATCATGAATTTTCATTACGATGAATTTATTCTATGATTAGAATGGAAACAAATTTGAACGTATAGAAATACAATCGAGAAAAGGAAAGTCTGATCTAATCAATTTGCTGAGGACTGATTAAATAAATGATAAAATTTCTGTATTTCGTCTGTGGTAAATAGAATTTCACTTGATGTTGATAGTAGTTGGATTTTTCTTAGACATCTGATTGAAACCTATTAACTATGTATTTACTAATACAATATTAAAGATCTCATGTAATGATACATGATTCCTCTTCGCTTCATAAAAGCTATGAAATAGACACGTGTTTACTTTTCTTCTGTTTATTTCTGACAGGAAATATTTCTTTTATACAAATCAAAGAAAAATGGAAAATAAACACAAGACACAAGAGCAATAAATAAAAATATTTCTTTCGATTAATTCAAGGTAGATCAAGCCCAGAATCAAGGGTTAATTGTACATTTTTATTTAGACTAACAGCTGGATAATAGACACCACCTTGTGTTAAATTTGAAAATGCAACTGATCCACGTGGTTGATCATTAACATAAAAACTTAATGTACCATTATTTAAATCCAACAAAATGCCAATAACGGACCCAATAGATATGCCACCATTAATACGATTTGTATGTTGTCCATTATGCATAAACCACGAACGTTGGCTATCTATATACATACACCAAGATTTACAATCTTTACCTAAAGTAAAAGAAATAATAATAAAAAAATGAAGAATTTTCAAATAATAAAAATAAATTTAATCATACCGAGCATATTATCTTTTGATACATCAAAACGAGCTATGCCAAACGCTGGATCAGGTTTATCATCATAACATTGTATAGTTATTTCCCAATAATGAAGACCTTGACGAAAACCTCGTGAACCAAGTGCTATGCGTTCTTGTAAACTAAGACATGTTATAGACTGAAAGTCATTTGATATGAACTTTATATCAGGATGTGTTGTACGAGGATTAAATGTAAACCAATCAACTAAATAATCAAAAATATATTATATCTGATCTGTTGCTTAATTTGTTTGTTTATATACCCGAAGATGAATGAAGTGTTATACATTCACTATAGGCACTTTCACCTACTTGATTGTAAGCTTTTATTCTTGCTGTATAAACACATGATGGAAGAAGTCCATCAATGGCACACATTGTTTGATTACCATCATATATTTGCTAAATTTGTATGTTTATTCAAAAGAAAATTTCATTTGGTGTTTGTTTTCTTGACTTACTCGAAATTCTGAACCGATTGTTCCATTATCTAATTCAAGGACGAAACCCTGGATAGCTCCAATATCATGAATTGACCAGGCAAGCATGCCAGAACAGGTTTCGGATTCATTATCATGACACACACATTGTTCAGCTTGGAAACGTGGTGATGAGGGTGCTAAACGAGAGTAAAGATCATTATTATTAATCAAGCTCAGCTTTCGTTCTTTCTTTAAGAGAAAAAAAATCTATTAACTATTTTCATGATGTAATTTGAGAATGATTGAATATGAGAATATTAAGAAATGTATCTGAACAGTTTATCATAAAAAACACAAAGAAACGATAAATATGCGAATATGAATATAACCCGAAGATGTCTACTGTAATTTTATATCAATATGCAAAACTGTAATGTTTATACGAAACTAATTGTCTGAGCAAATATAAATGGCACGTTTTCGTATTGAAAACAAAAAGATAGTCTGAAATTTATCATAAACAATTTATTCAATGTTTATTCTTACGCTTAATTGGTTGGAATTGTAAGCGATGAATATCTCGATTGAGACATTCAGTGTTGAATGTAAAATCAATTTCATATGAAGTGTGTGGTTTGGAATCATACTCGTCAGAGAAACTTCCTTGTAAATATGAACATTTACTATTTAAACCATGGCATGCCTAGAAGAAATCTTAGGGAAAAAATGAAGAACAAAGATTAGAAACAAAGATAAAACAACTTGAAGATAAGCACATGGGTCTGATTGTTTTAATGCTTCAATTGAAAATTGTAAAAATCCTGTTGTTCGTTGTAGATGTTCATTATAGGATAAATATTGTTCGTGTATCAATGATATTTTTCTTTCAATTTCATCATCAATAATTTTTAGTAATTCTTGTTTTTTAGTTTCTAATGTTAATATGAGATTATCAATTTCTTTGATTATATTTGTTTGAAATAATTCAGCATTTTTCTAAAAATGAAAAATAAATAATAATAATAATCTGAAATCATCCTTAATACGGATAGATAAAAATTTTCAGATTTGAAATTATTTACCTTAATATAATCAGGGTATAATTTTAATTTAGTAAGAAAATCAGCACTATATTTTGCTGTTTGCGACAAGTCATGTAATTGTGATGAAAGCTGAGTCTAAATAGAAGATTATTAGATAATAATGAAAGAAGAAGAAACCATTCGAGAAGTGATCATGTGTATCATTAAATCTAAAAATCGAGTGATCTATGTATTTATGTTCATTCATTTATGAGACAGAAACGGAAAGATTGCATCATCACATTTTTTTTTCTATTTACATATTAATGTTGCTTAGAAAGACAAGCAGAACAAGCAGCTACTATTGCATAGTAAGTTTAAAACGACACTTCATCTCATATTATGAGAATAATAATTTAGCAAGTATACGCATAAAAAAGCTCTTGTTAATTTAGTGACACAGCAATCAGATTATATCACAAGTGAAGCATTGATTGAATATATATTTTTGTCGATATACATCGCTCAAAAAACATTGTTAGTTTTTGATTGGAATAGAAATACGTAAAGAATCGATTTAATTATTCGAAATGTGACATGAGAGTAAAATAATAAGATATCGAATAATTATTCGATAAATTTTACCTTAAACATTTTATTTGCTTGATGAATCGATATCATTTGATGATTTATATGACTTGAGCATTGTTGACAACATTCTAATTGACAATGAGTACAATAAAAATCGGCTAAACGATTTGTATGATCATGACAGAAAAATTTCTCATTCTGATGGAAGATTTGTTCTGTCGGATCAATAAAAACATGTTTAGAATAGGGTCCTCGCATTGGATGATATTGTTCTCGACATTTATTGCAATATCCAATACGACATTGTTCACACATACGTGTAATCGATTGTTGATCTGAAGGAGGACATAATTGACATTTTAAACCGTTTTCTTCATAAGATTTTTCTCTTTGATAACGATTAATAATATTAGAAAGAAGATAATTTTTTGGTAAACTTTTCACACCTGATGTGTCCATATAAATATTTTTTGAACACACAGAACATTGTAAATAAAACGCATACATTTTCTTATGATTAGAAGTTATTGATAAACATGATATTTCAGGTAAAGCTGGTGGTAATAGTAAACTAGATGGACGACTGGTTGATGATATACCTGAATCATTATCACTTGTTAGAGAAAGTTTATCAAGATCAGATGCTAATGAAATATTTGACGAAGAATTGTCTTGTTCAATTGTATTTATTGATCGAATTGAAATTAATGCGCAAGCATAACAAATTGAATGTGAGCACGGTAAATAAATAGGTGATTGATAATATTGTTTACATGATGGACAATGAAGTTCAAGATCCATCCGTTTAACTGATGAATGAATCAGTATTGAATGGCAGACAAAAAGAAGAAAAAAATCTTCTCTTCTATTTATGGTGTTCTCTTCTCGTTTCTAATCGAACACGGAAGGAAAAAAACATTCCTCTTGTGTTCTCTTCTTTCTATTCGCAAGCGTGTAGTTGATGATCTAGCTATATAGTTTATGCATATTGTATTGTCTGTTTTGGGATGAAATGATCAATGTTCAGATAGAAATAATGTTAAAATAATACATTAGAATTCTCTTTTTTTGCATCGACTACATAGACGAGACCAATGAACTTTAGTTAGGTAATACCATTATATTTATGAATAAACAATCTCGTGTTATTTTACACTTGCCATTGTTCAATCATTATTGTTTAAATGATTACTTCAATGAAAACATAGATGATTGACAAATAATCGTTCATTGTTCTTTAGAATAGATAATCCTCGATAAAAATTTATCAAAATATCGAATTTAATAGACAGTTCAGCTAATTTAAATATTATTTTTCTTGTAAATTATAATTGCCTTTTACTGGAGGCAAAAACAGAATACACGAGAAAGGGCTTACAATATAAATATAGCATCAGGTATAGATAAGATATTGCATCTGACAACTATCTTCTTATGCAATTAAAGTGTGATTTGAAATAAATTAGTAATGATATAGTTTACTTAAAAAAGGTAATGAATTATTTTGCAATCAAGAGGCATAAAATGTATTAAATGCGTTTTTTGAATTGATTTATATTCATTTTATGGTTTTGTATTATATTTCAGTATGATAAACTAATTGATCGTGACTCATTTTACTCTCTAGCATTCACTTTAAATCGACTTTATGAACGAATTTGCAAAGACCTTATCTAGCTGCAGGCATTTTCGTTCCATATAATCTCCTTTTTATGGTTTCCTCTTTTTAACACTCGCTATTTCTATGAATTCAAAATATAAAATATCCAGAAAGTTATTGAAAGAAACAACAAAACTATTGTTTGTGCATTATTCTATTGATTGAATGATTTGATTTCTTTTTATGCTAATAATAGAGAAAAAACTTCCAAGTTTTTACTCCATGGTCCTACGCATACCACGTTCTAATGCAATACATACATGCATATACATAACACACTATGCAGAAACTGTTTCTTTAATGTTAATGAAAACATGAATTGCTTCTTTTTCACTTAATGAATTACGAGATATGCACTGTTCTTCAAATAAATATAGGGTCATATCAATGCTTCATATGATCGATAAAAAAATTGCTGAAATGAAACAATCCAGTGACAATGTGAACAATTCTTTGAAAACAGGTGATAAAAATAAATTCTAAATAGAATGCTACTATGTGAAAGAATAAACATTTCTCAACAATGTGCACTTCGACACTAGAGATGCAATAGCGACGATTACCGGTCTTATCGATAATCGTTCTCTATCGGTATAGAGCGCTTACCGGTGGATCATGGACCGTTGATTCACCATTGCATCCCTATCGGGTAGCTACCAGGCCGAACATATACTAAATTTTTTGGCAAAATAAAAAGTATTTTTGAGGAAACGTCTTGTTTTTAATATTGATGATTTCTATGTGATGTAAAGCAGTGAGGAATTAACTTGTGTTGATTGTCGCGTGAAACCTGGGTGTGGGTGTTCTTTCCACCCACATCCATACCCCGATTTTATTGTGTGTCATCATCTAATTTATCTTCTTCGTGGAACTGATTTTTCATGCATGATGCTTTAATCTTTTCTTGTCATTCCTTACTATCTCACGTTTTATCTCTGTTTCTTTCATAGCTACATATCGCTAATTAGTTAATCACTTGCCTCTTCGTTCATCATGTTCAGTTTATCCTTCTTCCTTCTCTCGCTATGTTAACTGTTCTTTCCTTTTCATGTTATTTCATTCCTCTCGTTCTTTTGGCGCTCAATTCTATCTCTTTTTCTGCCTGATATATAAGAAATACATAAAAGAGAGAGAGAGAGAACAAAGCTTTCGTTCTGGACGATAAACACTACAATCGCTACAATAGTGTATCTTTGGAATAGTGTCACAAAAATATGTTTCATAATACAGTGATGCTTGAATTGTATCGAGAATATCATAAAATGTTTTCTTTGCTTATTAATTCACTAAAAAAAACACGAGTAAAAGTCTTCTTGTTTTTAATTTTTTTCAATATGGTCTTACTTAACACGTCTTTTAATAAATATGCGTCTTTTACGTGATAAAAATTTCTCTGCTTAAAAATAATATGGAATTTTAATTCTTCGAATCAGAGCTCTGAATGAGACTAGGTGGGAGAAAAGTTGTCAAATCAAACATTATAAGCAAAAAACAACAAAAAAAACTTTTTCGATGGAATCCTATGAAAGAATGGTTGTATTTTCTCATTAAAACCATGTGTTCTAACATAATTGGTGCCTTTTTATTATTTTATCTTCTATGTACCAAAATTTTCACTATATCAAGAAATTTTTCTAGCGTTTTCATTTATAAACAAGCATGCAAAGCTGTTTATTTAATTGTATAATATTCTGTAGGGGGGAAAAAACAATGGGAAATTAGACATAGTTAGGTTAAAATGAGTGAATTAATAATTTCACAATAGTCTACTCAACGAGATATAGATAAGATAAGAGTTCATCTCATCCTGTTCCATGGAATGCCTCAATCGGAGCTCTAGTTCCAACCATATTATCTCTCATAAAACAATCCTCTATTCTTTATTTTATCTTTATTTATCTCAAATGATAATTTTTTCCACTCATTTACCCGTATTTTCTAAAATAACACCAAAAGGACAACTTTGAGGTCGGCGCCAAAAGCATGGCGATGATTGATTGACAGCTAATTTAAATTGTGCACATTGTGGAAACATGAATTGTTCGACTTGGGTAAAACCAAAAGTGCAACATGATCTCCGTTGATTGACATTGTTGACAGTGTTAGGTTAAGTTAACTGAATACTCATACGACGAAGAAGACTTTTGATTGATTGACGAGTCTGATTCGATATTGCAACAAGGCACAATCACAATTATGAGTTGTTGCGTCTATTTTCAATTGTGGATGTGCCATCAGCTATATAAGATGCATACACTCTTGTCCTCTTTCATTATTATTTTTTGATCTACTCTCGTCTCTTCCACTGCTACTGAATTCAATTTATAAGTAAATGATAGATACATATCCTTTTAAATCTCTTTCAAATTTGTTAGAAGACAACAATGTTGCCAATTCATCGTATCAATATTAACGCCAATAGCAGTGACTGCAGTTCAACAAAGATCAGTTCGACATTCTCGTCAAACACGAATAACATCTTCGATGCATTCTTCGAGCAAGGTTCGATATCCCAGGAGGCCAATCAGATGCGCTGACTAGCACGGCCCAACCTTTATTTTGTCAGTGAGCGGCACTCACTGCATCTAGCTGGTCTAGAGCGATTTCAAATTTCGTTTGGGGTTATTGGATTCCGACAGGATGATATTAAACTGAGTAGCAATCCCAGATATCCATATTATAAATAATAAAGTTGAGAGTATTTCGTGAAAATAGTGTCTACTTTATCCTCAATTTTAATCGGATTGGTTCACTGTAGCAGTGAGACGATATTCGGCCAGAATACAATTAGAACTGCTGAGGAAAGAGTTTTCATCGTGTTAGTTTGAACAGTACAATGAAGGTGACAAAATCACATAGCAGAAGTACTTTGTGGAAAAAATGATTTATGACATATAAAATTAGACTCATGGGTTGTCACGAATTGTTACATATTTTTCGATGTAGTACTCCTCGTGCTCGTGTAGTCAATGATGGATGAATATAACAGGAGAATGATTCATTATTTTTGTACGAGATAGATAAAAATGGGTGCTTTGAAAAATCGAAAATAAGATTTGACAAAACTTTCACTGTTTTATATTGTTCCCAAAAGCATTCGTTCTAGTTAGAAAACCTAATACTAAATACAAAATCTGTTGTTGCATTCATGAAGAATGCATTTCCACACATGGCTCGTTCAATTACAATGAAAAACGATAAACGTTGAGGTGATTTCTCACAGTAATCACAAGTAAAGCTATAAGATGAATTTAGGGCCATTGCAGGAAATGACCTAACGCTGCTAGCTACCAGCGTAGTATATAACAGTACAGTGGATGTGCAAGACGTTCAAATACAATATTGTAGACGTCGCTTACACCCACTATAAAAGCTTGATTGAATAAATGATCATCATTTTCTATCGTATTTGTTTACAAATAGGCGTTAACGTCAATTGTAGGTGTTTGTTTAAAAGACAGGATTATCAAGTGTTGATGCAAACTACATCATATGCTTTTGATATCTGCGATAAGTTGCGCAGCGCAGTTTCCACCAACGATGCAAAAACATGTCAGTATACGCTCATAGGTCTAATTTTGTGATCATACAGATTTAGGTATAAGGATGCAATCATAAAAGTATCGATATAAGGGTTCAGTTATGCAATAGAGGTGTAAAATTCTAACAATGGAGAAACGGTAGAAATATCTCAGTTCACAATACTGTATTTCATTGATAAGTTTTGCGCATATGCGTTTGAAAAAATACAATCGACAAATACAACATGATCAAATATTGCATTCATTAACTTTGTCTTAGGAAATGTACATTTAGTAAAATTAGTATCAGCACCATTAATATGATTCATTTTCGTTTCATAAAAATCAACATTTAAAATAAATTTTGATCCAGAAAGATAAGCATAGTCAAGATTTGAAAACATGAATGTAGAATTTTCGAAATTAGCATTTTTCAAAATTAACTCCAGCCATGTCAGTAAAATCAAATATACAATTTGAACACGAGAAAAATGCACCCAAGCTAGCATTATCCATTATCGTAAGAGTAAAAGCAGCTTTTTCATTTGTAACAAAAACAAATGAAGCATATGTTAAATTGGTCTTCTCGAACAATAATTGTGAAGAATTGCTTTTAAAAGTACCGATTTCATCATCGAATGATGGTGTATTCCATGGCGAAGAGAAATCAACATGGTTAAGTATACTACTATTCAATCGTGCACCACGTATATTAATTTCATAAAAGTCAGCACTTGTCATAATAATACCTTCCAATGACAGATTATATAATACTCTTCGCTCAGATTCAGCTATTAGATTTAAATCAGGTAAATTCGCAGATTGAAGCAAAACTGGTGGCCGATATTCATCAGATCGATAAGTAATTAATTTAGCTTCATATAGTAGACAAACGCGAAAGTTTCATCTCTCAGAATCAAGACGATTTACTGTTGACAGTGTGGCACAACGAGCAACAAGTGACCCTGATGTATTTTCTTCGATTTGTGTACCATACCGTTCAATTACTTTCCTTAATATCTTTTGACATTCACGAAGTATTAAATCTTTTTTTTTTTCGCTATCGGCTAAATCAAGGTCTTGCTGACGATTGTTATTTGTTATAGTCAACTCACAATTATTTTCTAAGACAGTATGAATGCCAATAGCAATAGGAATAGAGATTGATATAAGCAATTGAACCAATTCAAAACATGAATGATCTTTGTTTTCGTGCTTCATTTTGGTTTCTAAAAACAAAAAAGAAATGATTTTGATTTCACGATAATATCAGTTTTGAATGAATGATCACATATCTTCTGATATGCTTATACTTAACGTTTGCATCATGCGAATGGCGACATTAAAATAAAGAAAAACTAGTTAATATTGGCAGAATTTTTCAGATAACGAACTGATTGTGCGTCAAATGTTGATATCTTGACATCTAATATATTCGATTTAGCCGTTAGTTTTCTTCTTTGATAAATATTTCGATAACGTTGATACGGCAGGATTAATTCTAAAAATAGCATCATTTATCATAGCTTTGTGAATACGATCTGCAAATTCTCGAAGATTGTTATCGATAAAACAGAAATTTTAGACTTGTAACATTGAATAATATTTGTGAGCAGAGCATCTACATAGATTACTGATTATCCTTGTACAGTAAATCAAATTCTTTTTCTGATCGATAAAATTTGACAGTTTGTATTTGATCGTATGACCTAATTGACTTTGCATATCACAAGCTTCGTAGGAATTGCTAAAGTTAATATTCTGATAGAAAAGAGTAGGAAAAACATTTGAATTCGATATATAGAATAGAATAAAATTTACATAATTTTTATTTCCAATCGTTTCTTCAATAATATCGTAGGATAATATTAATACTTGATAAGTTAAAAAACCTGATAGAACATGAAATGAAAAACAATGTTATTGAGTATCGATGAAAGTCATAAATATCACAATTATAAATTTCGAACTGATTTCATATTGCTCGGACTAGCTGAATTAATTCTATGAATAGTAAGTATTCAAGTTTATTGTGTCTGATAACGTAAGAAAGTTTCCTGTTTTCGATAGCTATAATTAATCAACTAGAATCTTCTTTGTTAATAATAGTAATCCGTTTTTTTCTTTTTTTCAACTCTTTCATTTCATCAGTTTACCTTTCTTACTGACTAAATTAATCTCAACGTATCTAGTCAACAGTAAGCATTAGGTTCGTTTAGCAAGATAAAGGATTTGTGCATATCATTTTTCTTTTAATCAAAAAACAACAACAAAAATCGTTCTATTAAGTTTGCATGTCACTCAGCACGTTGAGGTGCTATTGTTTTCTGCTCTACATTGATTCTTTCATAGTATTAAAGAGGTCTGTAATGAATTGCTTACTATTGATCGCTAAATACCAACAATATTCCAATATACATATATTGGTTTAAAATTTATTGTGTTATAAATATTATATATTTGTTGAATACAACATTAATACTAATTAGATGCAAAAAATTAAAAGTACACAATTTAAATATTACAAGGATGAAGTATCAGAGACAAATAGATACAAAGAAAACTTATTAGTATTTAACAAAAATATCATACAAACATATTTCAAAAGTCGATTCGGTTCACAAAAGTCTTTCCTTTCTGATATCGAAAGTCACTACACTAAACTGTGGATATTTTGGTAGAAAATAGATTCTTATCATTAATTCTAATATCATAAATTGGATATATTTATAATGAATTCTAACGGTTCGCATAATAGAAATAAATAATATATGTGTATATCATGCTACGTTAAAAATTTCAAACGATACTGGTTTTGATTTCTGTTCTTTTCGTTATTCATGTGGTTTTCCACTATGATCAGCAGTACAGCCAAGTTCATGACAACTATTTTGTTGTACATGTGATAAATCAATTGGTGATGATATTTGATTTTTACTTGGGCGCATACCAACTGTATTTGTTATTGAATTCATACCTGGAGGTGCAGATTCAGTCGCTAGTTTTCCATCTGAATCTTGAACATGAGAAATAGATGAAGACATTTAGGTTTCACGTGATCGTTGCTAAAGATGATGCTCTGCTAACAATCTAAAAAAACTACATGAGACAACAAGAAAAGAACAAGCACATGAGAAGAGGGGGCGAATTTAGCCAAGAAGAAAAAAATACGCAGTAGAATCTTTTTCTTGTGTTGCTATTACTGAATGAGTCACTCGTATATATATATATATAGAAGAGAAAGAACATTATGCATTGGCAGACTCACTACATAGATGAGTCGTCTCGACCTCCTTTCTTTCTACGGAATTTCTCAATGGCTAGAAGAAATATTCAACTAAAGGAATATGGGCATTTAGGCACCGAAATAAATATAAATAAAAAATAATTTGTACATTTCTTAATGGATTAAGACTAGTAGTGATTATTTTGAAGGAATCTTAAATATTTCTGAGAATGAAAATTCATGATGCAATGAAATAAATGTAAAGTGATCATTTTTATAAGATAAACATAACATAAGCAATATATTTTCTTACCGTAATCATCTTAAATTTCAAAACAACATCTATTTATTCATTTTGTATTTCAGTCAAAAGAAAATATTTTTCTATAAGAGTTACTTTATCATGATTTATCTTTTTTCATTACGATAATTTGAAATTTTTAATCAACTTGAAAAGTCGGTTGCATTTTTTTTGAACGATTTTTCTTTTCGTATCGATAAATTGTCCTTGAAATACTTTGAAAATGAACAGTTTTAGACAAATTGAATCTGGATAATTCATAGGAAGTAAATTTTGTACGTTCTATGATAAAAAAGTTTCATCTTCATATACAAGATTCTTCTTTATAAACTAGCCTAATAATTTCAATGAAATATAAAACCAATAGAATTAATCTGAAACAGCTAATTAATATTAAATTGAGTTCTGATTATTATTCGTGCTAAGTTAAATATAGGAGAAATTTTATACTTATCAACGAAATTTTCGAACAGTTTTATGGTGTTCATTAACTAATCGTTGTAATTTTTTTTGATATAACGATGACAAAATGTTGTAGCATACTTCAATCATTCCGGCTAATTCCAACAGATAAAAGTAAAAGTTTGACGTAATTTTACTCTTTAAATTATTTTCAAGTTCATGTCTGTTCATAACTTTCTGTTTGATATCGAGGCATTTTGGTGTGATCATAGTCTAGTGTCATTCTATATCATTTTCTCTTTGCTTTAGGTGCTCATCAAAGTAAATTCAGATATCAGAATAAACGACTAAAATCGTTATTGAATATCCTTTTAATAACTTTATCTTATTTTCTAATTAACGATTCTTATTGCTGCTAAAGGTTATTTTTACATGAGCGAAGTCAGATTTGCAATTTATTTTAATTCATTATCAGCAATCGTATAAAGCACAATGTCAAAACACCTTATTCATTAAAAACTAGCTTTTCCGACGAATAAACGACGATCAAATACAACGAATTCGACTAAAAAAATGTAGAAGAAAAATTTTCAAATAAATGTAACTATATTAATGATTCATTTCATTGAAGATTTTACCATTTTGATTGATGTGAAAACTGAAACATCTTATTTTATTGACATTTTTCGAGTTTACCGTTGACTCGTCGACATCCGAATGTGCTTAATTGTAACATCGGTTAATATACGTAGATTATATTTATATCATTTTGACGTTAACATAGAGATGAACAACTGAGACTTCATCAATATTCTCAATTGAGAAATTTTAAAAAAATGAGAACCTCATCATGTAATAAAGTTATTTTTTTTATCGCAGTTTATGAATATTATTGAAACTAGGACAAAACTAAAAGACTTTGTCTTTATTAGATTTTTTTCTTGATTGAAGTTCTTTTATCATGTTGTTAAAGAAAATCAAGTGATCTCTTGTAAATCAACTTCAAATCGCTTTTTGATCTTAAACTAGGCAAAAGTAAAATTTTTCAATTGACCTGGGAAGCTGATGTTGAAAACGTTAAATCTTGTAGAGTCAACTATTCTTAAAAATAAATATCAGAAAAAAGTTTGTTTTTGAATGAAGAGCTTTTAGTCCATATCCGAGCATCGACGATACACTACAACATCGGATCATTTCAAATCAATCAGTCGTGTTGGAAATCTTACTTACAGAAATTTTCAACTTAGAGTCAAGCTTCAAAACGATTGAAAAACAACTAGAAATGCGTTTTTTTTTAAATTTAACCAGATGACTAAACCAGTAAGAGAAAGACTCATGATTATTATTCTGTCCAGTCTGTTGTTAGTCTCAACAACGAAATTTTAATCACTTGAGATTCATCTACAAAAGCAATTTATTAATGAAAACAATTATTTTGCGAGATATATTTATTTATTGAAAATTCGCTCTTTTGCTATTTGTGTGGCATTAAAAATTAACAATGAAAAGATCATTATCTTTATCTCGCTAAACTTGCTCAATTAGATCAAATATATTCACATATATTTTTATTTTTATCAATGCGCTTTTACATATTAGATTGATAAGAAGAAAAAGCTTGTATTCTATTTTTTTACACTTTCCATTAGATCTAATTATCATAATGTAAGGTTTTATTTATTTTTATTCAATAAATCAAACCAGATTAGTTAGCCTTTCATGTTAAAATGAATTTTACAAAAATCTAGTATTGATTTCGCAAAAGTAGCTCGTATTGTATTAAAGAAATACTTCCAGAATTCATATATTCAGTATTGATAAGTACTTTTAGTTAACAACTCACGTAAGTAACGATCCCATGTCGTCTCTTTTTTATCAACTGTGCCGCAGTTACGCGCAGGGCCAACTTTTTGCCGCAGTTACGCGTAACTATGGCGCATTGATCGTAGTGAAGATTTCTATAAGAAACTACGCTTACTGTGATGCAGATCAACGTAACGGCGTCCTAGTGATCGGATCCTACGATCCCTTGTAGGTATAAATGGCCAATTATAAATTATTCCTCCTTATTTGTAATTGGCTGCACTCTAACAATAAAACATAGTCACAAAAATAAAATCAGTATAAATAGCAGTGTTCGTCACATTTTCTTTCATAAGTCATTCTACTATAAGCAGTAGAATACATATTTTTTATTTTTTTAAAATTTTTCTAGATTTAAATCTTTTTAGTTTTTCAATTTTTTGTAATTAAATTTTTTTCTTCTATTTATTAAATTTAAAAAAATTGTTTTTGATGTTTATATTTTTATTTTTTTAGATATTTTTTTTTATTTTCCTTTATTTTTAACATTAAATTTTTTTTTAACTTTCACTTAGTAAATTTTGAAATTCTTTTGGGTTTTAATTTTTCAATTACTTTTTATTGTGAAAATTTTTAATTTAAAAATTGTCTTTTACTTTTTATAAAAATTTTAATTTTATAGTTTTAAGTGTTTTTATTTTGTGCAAAAATATTTTAAATGCACAATAAAAGTACAAATAAAATGAAAACCTAATCTATGTCATCTTTTGTACCAATTGCGACGACCCTGTGACCCATAATTGCGAAAAACTTGGACGCAGTTATGCGTAACTGGGATTTTTTCACCGTAACTATCCGTAATTGCGATTTTTTCATCGTAGTTACGCGTAGTTACGTCGCAATTTTCCGCAATTACGGGTCACAGTGCGGTCGCAGTTACGCCGTAACAGCGCCACAGTTTCATCGTAATGAAACACATGGGATCACATTTTATTTATCATTGTCAGTACTATCTATTTTACTAAATATCCCTAACAATATGTAGAAGATCGTTTGCTAAAAAATAGGTCTATCAATTGGAAAATATCATCGATATGAAATTCTCTTCTAAGTTGATAGAGAAATTCATCGCAACATTTAGATTCTCAATTGTATAAAAATAAATAATTTTGTACATTTGCATAAGGAATTCTATGAAAATAAAATAACAGCTGCTTATTTTAAGTATTTCATATAAATGATGTTGAACCCAGAAATTTTTCTTGTCATCAAACTAAAATAAACATATCTTTTTAATTTCAAAAGAATATTCATATGGTTTTATCATAGGATGCTTAGCAAATATGAAATTAATTCTTCCCTTTCTCAATAGATTTCTGAGTTTTGTACAATTAAATGATTCTAACGTGCGCATGTTCTATTTATTTTAACCTGCTAGATAAATAAAAGTAGTATCGTAACTTTAATAAAGATATAGTCCATGAAAAAGTAAGATAAAATAATACAAGATCGTATCTTTGAATCAACTACTGGATGTTGACGTATGACTTGCTATCCACTCCGACAAAGCTTCTGGATTTCGTGTCTAAAAGTAGATTAGAAGAAGAACATAAAATAGAGTGAAAATATATTTCTCTATTATCTTACTTGTATATAAACAGTTCCCGGACCAGTAAATCGACAAACAAGTCCTTCACCAGCATGCATACCACTCATAATACCACCACCAGCTCTTTCAATTGTATACGGGCAGTTCCATGCCACTAAATGTCCATTATCAACAATCCATTGTTCGTCTTGTCTTAAATGACGTTGCACAATAGCACCAAGTGATGTAACGAAGATAACTCCAACACCTGATATTCGATGAACAAAAAGACCTTCACCAGAAAACATTGCTTTACCCAATCCTTGAGATTTGGTCTCTTTTACAACGCCATGAGACATTGCAAGGTAGCCGCCTTTACCTACATTCCATTGAGCACGACCATCTAATTCAATAGGAACAATATCACCCCTATTAAAAAATTTAAAATAGATAGTTCTAACTTATTCTTTGCAATCACAATCAAAGAAGGCACTGGATAATTTTACGAAGTAATCAACTTTCTCTTGGTTTTTTTTTGTACGATTGAGAAATATTCAGTTTAATTTCCGATGAAATTACAATATGATATACGGTGTCTGCTACAAGCGTTGACAAAAATCTTACCAAATAGGTGGTGCAAATAGTATTTCCCCAGGACCAGTATATGTTGATTGAGCCATTTCACCACCTGTGAACATTTTTTTGAATGAAAACTTAAATTTTCCTTTGAGTGTCACTTCTGGACTCATTGATACCATAGCTCCTGGTTGCGCATAAAATGGAATGTTTGGTTGCAATGTTACCCAAAGAACGGAATTTGTGTCACGATGATCTATTTTGTAATAGCCACCATTAAATTGTCCGACTGTATCAGCTAAACTATTACTAGCCATTGGTTGTGCTGCTGCTGCCATTTATTTGTATGAGCCTTAGTGAATGTTATTTTTCTCTTTTAAAATATGAAAAGATTAGCAAAATATAGTCTTTATACAGATATTTGACAAAGAAAGAAAAAGAAAAACACAAATTGACAAGGCGCAAAAAGAAAAGACCAGACTACATCGGACGGATAAATGTATCTCTGGTCTTCACAGCTTCTCTTGACTAATAGAAGAAACGAAAAAAAAAAGATTCATTGTATGATTCAGAAACCGAATGCAAAGAAAGAAAATATATATACACCGACCATCGTTGATGCTAGCGAATAGAAAAATGCGGGGGTAGGATATTATAGGACATGATAGAATTATTTAACAAAGTACTTCATATTGCTGACGACAATAGCTAAATATGCTTGTACGTCATAGTGAAAATAGCTATTCGATATGAAAAGTATTTTTTACATTAGTTATAAAATATTTATATTTGATTTGGAATAAAACTTCGATGCGTTAATATGTGTTGACGTCAGAAAAAGACAAATAACTTTTAAATTTTTTTTCATTCGTAGGAGTATTTATTACATGTGCAAGGGATTAATTTGTTTTCAATATAATAAAAACAATATTTGAAGAATATACGTGTATTACTTCTGAAGGGTATTCACTGAGGTACCACAAAAGTTTCTACGGATTCAAATACGATTTTGACATAAAATGCAAAAGTTATATTACCTGGTAAACGTATAGATTCTAATCGATCATAAGATCTATCTAACAAACTAGAATTTGAAACGTCAAAGATCAGTTTCATAAGAATGAAATCTCAACTAGTAAAAGATGATCTTCATTTTTGTACCTATCGTGTTAAAATCGAAGGAGATATAGAAGTTCATCTGAATACCTACGCATGCGAATAGCTTAATGTCAATACGAGATATCTTTTAGTAAAATATTGAAAATAGTATACATCAGAGCATCAACCAGGCCGTGTTTTTGTAGGCCTGACCGGTCCGTGACAGACCTTTGCATTTCAAGCCTGCCTGCGCATGTCAACTAATTTGTTTGGCCTGGCCTGCCTGTCTGACAACCCAAGTCGAGCAATCCGACAGTAGGCACCTATAGGAACCCATCCGATCCGACTGGAATCCAATAGGGTTTTATCGGACCCTGCCAGATCTTACAGAATTATCGTCGGATCCCGGCTCGAGGAACCGATGTCGGATTCCTATGAATTCCAAGGAAAAACCGTTGTATGTCATCGGAAGTTCATAGGATTCCGACACTGAGGATCGGATATTGATTCCTCGACCCGGAATCCAATAGAATTGTATCGGATTGTAGGATATTTCGAGGTTCCTGTCGGATCAGTCGACCTGGGAAAGCCTGTCAATTATTTTATTGCTAATACCATTACGAGGATAGAATAGAAACATACAATTAATGTTGAGAATGAAGAAAACCAATTTAATTAATTTAATGACTAGATTAGGCATTTACTTATCGAAGTTTTCGTACAAAAAAATAATACATCAGAGACAGCATGGCATAACATTAAGAAAAAAGTAAAGGTTTTAACAATCGATAAGAAAGATCTTGATGATAATCGATAATACAATTTTTAACAATAATCAATAGGAAAGATCTAAATAATAATAATGAAGAACGAATTTTTTACGACAATCAATAAACGAATTCTATTAATCAATAAGAAACTTGATGATAATCGATAGTAAAGATTTTAAGAATTAATAAAAATAATCTATATAATAATCAATAAGAAAAGTTTTAATAATAATTAATAATATGAAAAACGACAGATAACTGAAAACACAAAGACCCCAAACAGACCAAAAAGGTAAAACAGAATTAACCACTAAATCGTCTCAAGAAAATGACTTACGTGTGAATTAACCAATCACGTTGCTTAATTCTGTTTTATTTTTTTGTGTTGGTCTGTTTGGGGTCAAAGAGCGAATGGAGAAAGGAAACGAACGAACTATGCAATTTGAACTGAACATTTGTCATCATTTGGACCAATCACAATGAACACAGAACATCATCTATCTATACGTCGTCTGATTATTAGCGCCACCTTCAATTAAAAAAGTTTATATCGAAAATAAAAAAATTATATATATAAAGAATAGAGACAGGCCAGGCGGCCTGGTGTTTTTAAGCTGCCTGCCTAGTGGCCTGGTTGATGCTCTGGTATACATCTTATACTGTATAAATAATGGCCATGATTGTGGCCATAAATGATCACCGATGTCTTTCTCTTATATGCGTTAGATTTTCTTTTCTTTATATGTATGACCTACCCATGTGTTTCATTACGATGAAACTGTGGCGCAGTTACGGCGTAACTGCGATCGCACTGTGACCCGTAATTGCGGAAAATTGCGCCGTAACTACGCGTAACTGCGATGAAGAAATCGCAATNCTATTTATACTGATTTTCTGTGACTGTATTTTATTGTTAGAGTGTAGCCAATTACAAATAAGAAGGAATAATTTATAATTGGCCATTTATACCTACAAGGGATCGTAAGATGCGATCACTAGGACGCAGTTACGTTGATCTTCATCACAGTACGCGTAGTTTCTTATAGAATCTCCACTACGATCAATGCGCCATAGTTACGCGTAACTGCGACGTAAAATTGGCTCTGCGCGTAACTGCGGCACAGTTGATAAAAAAGAGACGACATGGGTAGTGACCGTTATTCGTGTAAGCTGGTATATTTTCATCTCTTGTCCGATCAAGTATTGTTTGATGATTATAATACATAAAGGCGTGCAAACGAGAAGACAAACACATCTGAAGTGACTGAATATTTGGATGAACATACTACAGTTATAACAAATTCAGCTATGCAGATTTCGTAAAACTTCTTTCTTTCTTCATATTACATTAATGCACAACTTCATTAATAATATTCGTTTCGTGATTTCATTTAATCAGTAATCGTTTTCTCTAGAATGAATTCTTCTGTGTATTACTAAATCAGTGAATGAATGATTTATAGCTCATTAAAATTTTAAACCAAGCAATGCCATTTGAAAATTCTTGCGTAACTCAAGTTCCAGCAGATTAAGATCGTGCTATTTAATTAGTGAGTTGTGTTGATTGACAATCAAGTTGTTTTTAAATAAATATAACATGATTCGACTAGACTCTATCGGATTAAAAAATTTATAGGCCCGGACACGGATCCAACGTATTAGAATTTTCGGAACCCAACCCGATTGATCAGGATTTTTGAACCTGAATCTTATTGCTCAATTTTTCTGGGGTCCAGAATTTAAAGGTACTATTAAAACTCTCTAGGAATTTTTCTAATCAAGGAACAAAATTTTCTACTTGTTATCAAAAAACTTAAGATTTTTTGAATAAAATGAACGAAAGTTCAAAAGAATTGAGAAAATATTATTAAATCGATCAAAATTGCCAGACTCGGACCCGACGGGCTTTGAGAGCATTCACCGCGCATAAGTTTCTCTGTCAACATTGGAATCCACATATTCTATATTTTCTTATTTGTAAATACTTGTCCTTTGTCATTTGTTTTTTCTTGTGTATTCTTCGTTTTTGCCTGTGAATCTCTTAGTTTTTTTTTTTCTGAAGACAAAGAAGTACTGCGATTCTACAACTCTCTATATGTCGTCATGCTAACTCGATAGACTTCAGTTCTATATAATATTTGCACTGAACAACTTTTAATGAAAACATATCGCAATATTCCACAATATCAACTCTGAACAATGATCCTAATCATAATAAAATATTTCACGCAGACAAATCGATAATTCATATCTTTCAACTACTATTTTTCATGAAGTAAATGGTAAAATAGTATCACTTACTTTCTACAAATATGGAACAGAATTATTATAATTCCTATTTGAATAGGACTTTTATTTTTAGATTTATCACAATAATTTACGAAGAAAACTATGAAAAGAACAACCATTCCCATTTGAACTGTAACTATTTCGTCTATGTCAATACAGCGAAGAATGAAATATGAAAAGATTGTCGATTCATAGTATTATAGTTTTGATTATATCATGGTTCACGTTTATTTCCCTTATTGTTTCTTTTCCTTGATCACTGATTTGATTGCGTGCTAGATCCAATCTATTCAATGTTCGATTATTTTGAATCATGGAAGCGATACTGTCAATACTTTGATCTGAGATTTTATTTTGCCGAATATCGATACCTTGTAAGACTTGATTCTGTTTCATGGCCATACATATAGCCTGTATTCCTGCATCGCCAATTTGATTGTAATCAAGCGAAATTGCTTTTAATGCTTTGTTTGATCGAATCATCGATGCTAATTCTTCTGCACCTACATCTGTTATACCGGCCCTGCCGATCTTCAAAATCGTCAAATTTTCATTGTGTTGAAGAGCTCGAGCAATGAATGTTACACCATTATCCGATATTGGGTTGGCATGTAATATTAAATTGATGACTGTAGAATTTGTTCGTAGCATTTCACCGATTGCTTGGGCACCAATCTCGGTTATTTGATTATCAGTCAAGTTCACATCAGTTATGGTCGTATTCGATACAAGAAAATCGATGAAAGATGTAGTTCGTCTATCTTCGAGTGAATTACCGCACAGATGAAGAGCTTTCACTGCCGTATTAATTGCTAGTGCTTCGAATAAATATTTAAAACCATCTTCATTAACCAGATTTTGACCTATTATTCGCAGAGAATTCCATACACGATTTGTTCTCAATTCATCTGCAATTAATTTTATATCATCATCAGAAATAGAATTTACATAAAATGTTGCTGATTTGCATAGTCGCATTTTTCGAATGAGTATCTCTAATTTTTCGTTTTCATATGTCGGTGTTTGATATTCATCAATATTTTCATCATTTGTAGCAGTCATTTATTGATGACCGTTGTTTGAAATTCCGTTTGAAAGTGAAAATGCTTCAAAACTGTAAAAGAAATGCTTAATCATAAATAGTAATTTGCAACAAGAGGACACAATACAACTTTTTCGATGTTAAATATGCGTAGAGTTTTCTATTGTTGCTGTCAACAGTATGGTATACTTCAGTTGAATGTTTACGATGCGTCATTGTATTCTTCTTTATCGGTTCTTTACCATTGAAATGACTCATATCGTCATGCCTGTTACTGACATGAGCACACAAATGTATTTTTTTCGCTTTGCCACAATGAGGCATTTTTTTTCTTTGATTTTTATGTCAAAAAAAAACGAACAATTTTTCTTTCATCTACTTAAATCACATATTCGATAAAAAAAAAGAAAAGAAAACCAGTAATGATCCAATTGAGATAGAATAAGCATGACAATGAATATAATTAGCAAGTTATCAGATAGGAATCTACAAACAATAGACGAAATGGCACAATTGATGAAATTTAATCAGCTTATTAGATGGTCAAAAATGAGTGAATGTAATGAAGAAAATACTGAATTAAGTTATTTAACATTGTATAGTAAATCCTGAAAAATTGAGCTTGTGTTGTACGTATGGCTAGTCTCTACTTTCCATAGAATCAATTCGTTTGAAATATAAGAAGATCTTCCGAACATTTATACAGTCTAAAGTAAGTCAAAGAAAAAATGAAACTTGATGTCTTTAGTTTGGGTAGCTTTGTAATAGATGATTTAGTTTCTATGTGAATCATTGAATTGTGTTGCATTAAAATATTTGCAATTCTAAACGAATCTGTATGTTACAGATTCAGAGTACTGAATAGATACATAATGCTTAAAGTTTTTCAATTATTTTTTCATGGTCTTAAGAAGAAAGTTTATTTGTCAAAAAAAGAAAAGAATGGATTATACTTTTTTATTAGAATTGATTATCGCTTCTTCATGATATTGCCAATAATCATTGGTATAGCCTTCTTTGACATGTTTTAACAAAACATCTTTTCGCGAATCACAATACTGATATTTTTCAATTAATATTCTTTTAATATTGTTCAGTACAAGTTCTTTAGTTAAGTCTTGCTCTAAAAATCGACTAAGTTCTCCACATGTTTTTTCTAGGTCTTCTTGATTTTCTTCGAAGACAATGGATTGATTATTTTTTACTAAATAATATGCAAACGGATACGTATATATTAGTGTTTGACGGCAACTTAATAAAACGCTAAATGCTTTTTCAATGGTTTGTGTGTCATTCTTCGATAATTGTTGTTCGTTAAGAATAAATTTTTGACGAATATTTTCAAATAATTTTGTCTCTAAATCAAATGAATATTGATGATTGTAAAAGCGATCATAATAATGAATATATCGAGACAAAGCAAGAGCGTATTCATTTTGCAATGCATCAGTAATCTGGTTTTCATCGAAACGATTGCATTCTGAATGGGTTGACCATTTACCTTAGTTAAAGTTAGATATTATTATATATATAAAGACAAAATTTAAATACATCAAATAGATCAGTAAAAAACGTATTTCGTTTATACTGAACTTATCCTGCTCGTCCTTGTTATACTAATTCATGGAATATGCAATCGGACTGGACTCTACTATATAAACTAAAAGGGAAGATCCAATCTGTTACACTGTACATTAGTGACACAGATTTTTTTGTGTCTTTGTACTATTAATATTTGATCATTTAACCATTTTAGCAACAATATATGACTCAATCGCGACGGAAAGCAATAGTAAAAAGCTTAAATGTAACTTGAATGATGGTTTTTGTTCATAAAAATATTTGTAAGCTCTAGGAACAATGTAACTAATCAATCTCCTAAAACAACAGATGAATGAATATTAAACAATAAGCCAAATCAATGAAATTCTTCGTAATTTGTTCGTTTGCTCACTTGCTGCATCAATAAATATAGAATGCATTTTGTTTCTGTTTAATAGCAGTAGATTTCTAAGTAACATTACAAATATCATCATGGATATGTGAATATTTTTCATAGCTAACTTAATAGGTCTACACTCGATCACAATAGTTTGATACGATTCGTGTTATATAATTATTCAAAGTGAAATTCATTGTATTTACCGAAACATAACCAACAAAATTCATGACGACAATGTCTACAGGTCATATGGTTGCAACCACCATTCTTTTCAATATTCACTTTACATTTTGGACAAGATTTTGTATTAGCTTTCAACCATGCAACTGTTACACTATCGTCAAACATCTTTTTATTCCATTGTAATAATAAAATACATTTTATAGGATCATGCCACGATTGAGCACATTGAAAACAGAATGATGTTTGACAATGATCACATGTGATCAATTGAGCATAATTATAAGCAGATGTCAGAGATGTTGCATTAATAATACAACCACAGTTCTTTCCTGGACACCAACGAGCGCGTGGATTATTCTCGACATAGGAATTTAATATGATTTTTGCATAAATATGTTTGACAAATTCATTATCGTCTAAAAACTTTGTGATAGTTTCATCATCGACAAGTATTTCACATTGCAAATCTGGACAAGCAATTGTTTGAGCAAGGCCTTCATTTATAATTTTATTTATCAAATAACCTTTCCAACAATCATTACAAAATGTATGTTTACATTTAAGACTAAACATTTCGGTTTGCCCACTCGAACAACAAATTAAGCAAATTCCAGTGGACTCACTGGCACATGTTTTTTCAGTAAATGGATTAACAAGTTTCGATTGTTGATAAAATTCAACGGGATCCATTTCGTAGAATTTTTCTAATAATCGTTGTTTATTCCATTTGAAACAGTGCAGTAAAAGTTTAGCAATAGTTGATGGTATGTGAAGAATATCTTCTATTTCGTCAACATAATTCATCATTAATTCAATGTATTGATTTTCAGTTAAAACTGAATAATGAAAATTTGGCTTTTTCTGATCAGATGGTGTTAATGGCTCATCAATGTATGGTTGTATAGTTTCATGTTGATCTTCATAAATTTCATAAAAATTTCCATCAAGTTCATCAAAAACAGGGCTTAATGGTTCGTTAGTTTTATTCTCTAGTTCATTTATTTTAGGAGATTTCGATGAAGTAGATGATATTTCAGTCATATCATAAAAGTTTTCATCGTCGTCAGATTCATCTGAACTCATAGTTTCCGATGATTTTCTTTTATTTTCAATTCTTTAATAAATCGTGTAGTATTTTCTTTTTGCGCTGTTTACGATATTTTTGACAAATATGTATGTTGACTTGCACAATCATTGATTGATTTGATGTCAGAATCAGAATGAATAATTTCCTATGACTAATAGATGATTGCAGAGTCGAATGTATGTACTGATTGGAAAACGTTTGGTAACAACACAACATCAGTAGTCCATATTATACGTTTCGCTAGATGCGTGATTCAGAGAGTTATTTATAAATAGGTGTCCTTCGTTGACGATAAAAGTTTCTTTGCACGCTTTTACCTTTTTTGCTTTGTAAACGAAAATATTTTCTTATCTACGTTAATTTTGAGAAAAGTTTAAAAAGTTTATAGACAGAACAAGTTAGATTATCAGCACTAAAGCAATCAACGTGTTTCGGCATTGTCTTACATGTAATTTATAATTCAAGAAAAATAGAGATTATATACTATGAAAATCCAATTCATAACATTCGATTCAATTTCGTTATTCAGAAAATATTCTCTACCGTTTTCATAATGATGATTATAAATAAGATGAAAAAAGTGTTTGTTGGGATTTGTTCATGTTTTATAGTCTAATACTTCTATATATGACTTCCAAAAATGTTGAAATTCGACGTTTTATCTCATTACACTCAAGTAGTCTCTTTGCATTCGAGTAGTTGAATAGTACAGTTTACACTTACAAATAAAACATGATGTTTTATTTAAAATTATATAAAATAAATAATATCAAGATATTGAGCGTATATCATATTTTTTCTTTCAACTAAAAATGAATTGTTTCCATAGTGTTCCAATATGCAGTCACTCTTCTTCAATTTTTAGTATCAATCTAAATTTTACTTTGTATTTTCTCAAAAATATGAGATTTGAAAAAAGTTACTTTCCCTTTTTTTCATTGACAGACATATAGATTGTACATACTTTATTGTTCATCGAATGGAATCTGATCAAGCTATATGACAAAATAAACGAAAGCTGTACTTATTTAGATTTTGTTGTGTCTTAAGAATGAATTTCAATTGAAAACATTGTTTCAAACTGGAATTTTCAACAATTCATTGCCATAGAGTTTTATTTCGTTCAAAATACATACAAACAACGAAGAAATTACACAGAACACGAACCGAAATGTAGAACAGAAATCATAGCAAAGGCTTGTTTGAATTAAAGAATTAAGCATATATATTTTCTTTAACTGTTACAAATGTCACAAACAAATCATGATTTTTCTTTATCGATAGTAAAATAACTTTTTGAAAATATCTATGAATATCTAACTTTAAAATAAACTAAAATTTAATGAATGAAGAGCTAGAATCGAATTGAACACCACTTGTTCAGTTAACACGCGTGGCTTACTTTTGATGATACCGATCTAAATTAGTTGACTTGATGTTCTCAAAGTTCTCTGGTGATATTGTTGGTTAATTTTCATGTGCATCTAGAAGGCGTCCAGATAATTAATTAACTTCGTAATTTATAGAATTAGATATTTCAATTAAATATTTTAAATAGTTTATTTCATTTGACCTTTTAGTTTCGCATTGTGTACAAAGTGATAGTATACGCTCTCTAGTAGAACATGATTTGATTGATATAAAATTCAATTAGATAACAGGTGGGAGTGTTTTTTTAGATATTGATACGATTAACAGGATAAAATATACCCTAACTATAGTTGAATTGGTGTTTCTCTTTTATATTTCACAAAAATGATTCATTGAGATTTTCACTAATAGTACAAAATAAAAATCTTTATAGCTTAGTGTTTGAAATTGTATTTATTCGCACAGTTATACTTAAAAAGGAATATCGATATGTACACTTTTTTGAATTCACATGTATAAATGCATATATTTGATAGAAGTGTAGATCAAACATTACTGTTATAGATTTTTGAAAATATGATAGTTGACAATAGAACACGAAAATGAATCTATAGACAATAAGTGATACTCTCAAAGCAGGAAGGGAACTAACAGTAGTATTAAACCCACTGATATGAGTGAGATACTTTATAAATTACATAAGATTACAAATGACTGATGTTGAATTTGCACCATTGCACATTTTCAATGGAATGTAAACTTTGATTTCTTCGAGAAAAGAAAAATAGCTTTTCAAACTGAGCGTTTTCGTAAGTTGAGATCTAGCAACGTCTTCTTTCAGTAATGAAAACATAACTTGTTGACTTGATATGCACATATCATAAATGTTGTGTAATAAACGGCCATTCATACCTTCGAAAGCTGGCAGAAGAATGTCGAGTTCTTTAGCAAGTAGAAATGATGTAACATGGTCTTCAGTCCACATATCAATACAATATGGATATTCCCTAAAATGAAATAACACATTTCTTACAATTTATAGTTTTCAGTTGCTAAATAGTGTTCTGAATTAATCTATAGATAGAGATCGATGACGACCGAAAGTACACTGTTAGAAAATTTAATAGAGAAGTCCTCAATACTGATTCTAGAAGTTGAAAATTCAGAAAAACCTCTGCTTTTTATTTTTGAATTGTAAAGGTGTTGACTTAGCCAGTTGAATTCAATTTTTGTTTTAGCAGGGACCAATAAAATATTTTTGACATTGATGTAAATTCAAATTTCAGTCATAAAATATGTACATCTGGAGAATAGTTCTACGATATTTCTATAAGCATAAAATTAGACAGGTAATACTGTTTTTCACCGATTTCGACGAGTATTATCAATGAACTTCCTAATGTTTTCTATTACTTATGTTATCTCAAATCATCAAGACCTTTTCACTTAGTAAAACGATTTTTACAACTAAATCCTTCATGTAATTACTGATGCAAAGCACAAGAAAATTTACATTCACTAATTTCATTTGAAAATCAGTAAACGTCATTATTGTCTCAGTAAGTTATGCAGAAAAAGAACCGTTTTAATGAATTCACAACGTTCATCTTCAATATAAACTTACACAATTGAACAAACATTTTTCTTTATTTCCTTAGTCGAAACGGTTGTTGGTATAACACAATCTAGTTGTGAACTATGATTATAATACATTTGATTTTGTGGAGCAGCTGCTGAATATGAATCATTCGAATGAATTAAATTAATCTGGTTCTTAAGTTCTTGATAAGCTTTATCTAAATTAAGTTTCGAAAAATCGATATTGACCAGTGCTGATGTTAAGATTCCAAGCCATCCATCAGGCTTGTAGTTGTCTGTCATCACTAATGGAATAATGTGACACTGACATTTAACTGCATAAGTAGCTTCCAGTTCACATAAAGGGCTCTGCTTGTAAGCATCAGACATACAAATAAATACAAATTCTGCATTCTCAATCGCTTCAACCACAGAATCAAATGTAACATCATCTATTAATCGAGAATCGATCCATACACGCAATTGATCTTTTTCGAGAAGATCTAAAATGTGATGACAGAGTTTTTTGTCACTATGCGAATAACTTATCATAATATCATATTGTTTCTTAGTTTTGACCCATGAAGAACTTGGCGGTGCTCGTTCTTGAACTATCTTGATCGTTGTTTCGAAATTTTTTTCTAATTTCCATATCAATGCCGTAGCTACTAGTTGTAGACTTCTTTCTGATGATAAAGCTAATGATCGAATATGATTCATAAAAGTTATATTGTCTCTCAGAGAAATAGCAAAATCTTTGTTGAAGGCTAATGTAAGAAGAATCTCTAGTGAAGGAAGTTTTGCTTTAAGTATATTGAATTGATCTTCGACAACACATCGAAGAAAAACGGAGTCTCCTTTTTGTTTGATTAATTCTTTACGAATCTGATCGTGTTGTGTTAATACTAAAAATAAAAATAAAAATAAAAATAAAAACATTAAATAAGGAATCTTTTTATTCAGTATCCTAAGTAAAAATTAAGCGGATAGCAGAAATGTAATCGTACTCATCATTCGAATTTTCGTGTAGAGGATTGTTAATACTTGTTTCCTTATGTATTGGTTCAATAAGGATTTCCTATGAAGATGACTCAAGCACCAAGGGCAATAGAAGAATATTTCCTGCTTCTAATTATCGTCATCTTTGGAAGAAAATAATTTAAGCTAACCTTTAAGACTACGAAGGCTATTATGTAGACGAGCTTCATAAGGAATACCACCGTTAATAGCATCATTAATAAAACTAATAAAAATTGCAGTAATTCTAGCCGAATTTTGCAGCTGCTTTATGTCGGCTTCATTCATGATAATTGCAAGAATTCGATGAGCTTGTAAATTAATTTCATCGTGTTTGCTTAGTGTTCGTAAAAGTCTATGCATAATATCAACCAATTGAAGACTTTTAAGATGATTAACAAGTTCTCTGTCCAGAGTAAAATAGAAAAGAATCAAAAGAAGTTCTTGAACAAGTGGTATAGCTGCTAGATCGATAGCTATTGGATTCGATTGATTGATAGATAATAGAATATATTTGATAGTATTTGCAACTTGTCGAAATTCATTGCGTGAGTCACTGCTGCTAATGTTATCATCAAGATCTATTCGAAAAAGTAAGTTGGTTATATGTTGCATGATATCAACCATAACTGGACTCCACATGACATAGGATGGCCGACCAGTATTATGTTCGCCAAGCCAACTATTGAACCACTTGAGATGAGTATGTCGAATTCGTTCAATTATTTCTTGGCGTCTATTACCTTGGTACCAAGTAATCTCGTTTGGATAATACGTGAGTAAGATACGTTGTTCATTTGAAAGATGACTTGGCTGTTTTTTGAAAACTGTTTCGAACATTTGTGCGTATAAAGGAGAGCAGACTTGATCAACAGCTCGATCTATCTCAAGTGCAAACGATTTAGATTTTCTAGTCATATTTAACAACGCTTATACTGTATGTTTTGTGAAACTTTGATAATGCAACGTCGATTTAACTTCTCTTAGACTATTTTAGAAGAAAAGAAGAAAAAAATCCTCTTCTCTGTTTTACGTTGATGTTAAGGAGATGAACAGCGAATTTCTAGGAAGAAAAAAATAAATGTATCACCATCTAAAAGTTAATGCCAAACTAGAATGCTAAACGTTGTACGTTGTGTAAAATTTATCAAATTATTTTCAGAAAGAAAGTCATCATATCTGGTATTATGACATTAAAGCAAGCGACATCATATGTCACACTAGAAAATGATCATTTCATTATAAGATAGCACGGTTCAATAAATTGTGGAAATATTTCTTTGTATCTGATGTTGACACACGATTAGGATCATTTACAAATGCAATCGTTATAGTATTTATGTATTATATCGTAGATTGCAGCACTGAGATTTTGTTTATTTCTTTTACAGAAATGATAGAAGAAAAAGATAAGCGACAAATTTCAACTAGAAAAATTTAATTGTATAAATTTTTATGTCGAGGCTACTAGAATATATGGTAATTCAAAATATTCGAACTAATTTTAAAGCACAAATTGAGTATGAAACAGTATTCTGGAATTTATTAAAGAAAAAAAGAAAAATTCATTAAAAATTTGTTATGTTTTCATCAAAAAATTCCTTTAATATTTTTTTCTTCTTAATCGATTCTATAAATGTTTGATTTTCCATCACATCAGGATGATTAGATGGTAATGTTTTTAAAAATTGTTTCGTTGACTTTTCTATACTTAGTAAAGCTTCATCAAATTTATTTTGACCTACATAAACGTGTGATATATTTAGATAGTGCTATAGCAATTAATGAATGATTTTTGTCGTAATGATATTGATGCAATTTCAAGACTTTTACAATAATTTTCTAATGCTTCTAAATATTGTTCTTCACGATAATACATTAAATCAATATTATTATAAAGTACAGCAAATGATGAATGCGCTACTAGCATATATTCTTTTTGATATTCTAAAGAACGTTTACAATTCGTTAATGCTTCACGAGATCGACCAAGTTTTAAATAAACATTTCCAAGGGTATCATTGACTGAGCTCAATGCACTAAGATTACGTGGTAAAATGTGTTCTTGAATTTCAAGTGATTTATTATAATTATTTAAAGCTTCTTCGTATTTAAATTGTGATAGATATGCATCACCTATATGATCATAAGCCAATGCAAGTTCAGTATCATGTGGTTCAGTTATTTGTTGAAGAATTTTTAAAGTACGTTGAAATGATGAAATAGCATCGGAATGTTTTCCTTGTTTTAAGAAAATAATGCCTATATTATTTGTATGACTACTAATACAATTCAAGTCTGGATTATTTGAATCCAGTTGTGAATCAAGTGCTTTTTGATAGTATTCATGGCATTTTTCATAAGTATCTAGACGCAAATACATTGCACCGATGCTAGCGTAAAGTGAAGATAATTCGAAAGCATTTGGTGACATAATGCTAAGGGATGCATCTAATGAAAGAAGATACAATTCAAGGGCACGTTTGAATTATCTTGATTACGGCAGGAAGTAGTGAGGCAATAACAACACGCAGCTATTTCAGCTTGAGTAGTACTGTTTTCTTTTGAAGTATCATCATTAAACATTGTTTCAACTACGTGTTCAGCAGCTATTTGTTGATTCATTAGAACCATTAACTTTATCAAGCTAATCAATGGAACAAAACTTTTGATCTCAGTTCTTTTCGATTCAAGTATCTGTTCAATATTTTGTTGACTCTCACTTAGAACTAATGTTGAATATATTGAAGCTATTTGATTTTCCTTCAAACTTTCTTTTTCAACTTTAACGATACGTGCCATAGTACTCATATTTAATAAAACATCTTTACCATTATCAATGAAATATCGGCATGAACTTATAGTGGCGCATTTCGTATTTGCTGGCATATCAATATGAATAATAATTGACATAAAATTATCATTTAAAGGCGATAGTCTTTTAGCAACACAAATAGCTCGTAGTTGATCCGTCGAACAAAATAAAAATTGAGAAAATGCAATGAGATTATTATTTGAAAAAGCTTTTTGCAAAATAGCAAAGTCATCTCTTTGAATTATTTGTCCAAGATAAACTGTTATTGAATCTGATACTGATTCATTTTGAATTTGATGAAATAAATCTTGAATAAATAAACGAAGTTTATATAAAACATCAGCTGCAGGAATACGAAGAGCTTTATTTAACATCTAAAAAGAAAATTATTTTCATTGTTTCTTAAATGACTTGTTAAGAATTTAATTTACTTTTGACAGAAAACACGGTTTTAAAAACCAATCAATCGCTTTAGTTGACTGATAGCTTTTTCAAAATCATTAATGATTATTAATTCTTCATCATTATCATTATATTCTTCACGTCAAAAATTAATTAGTTCTTGTAAACCATTACTTATTTCATTTCTATCCAGAATTAATTCAGTTAATAATTGAAAGTATACATAATCTTGTTCAATTGTTGCTGTATTTGTTGATAAATTTAAATAGATCAGTAGACTATGTTCTAATGTATGCATGTCCTTTGATATTTGTTCGTATATGTCGTTTAATTTCGGGTATAAACCTTGAACTTTTAACATTTTAAATGATGAATTCATTTCAATATCACCTTCACACAAAATATAAATAGTAAGTATTTGTTGCAGATTTTCAATTCTTAAAAGAATCGAATCACAAAATGATTTCGAAACAATAAAAACGATTTTTTCATTGGATACACTGTTTATGAATGCAACACAATCATCAATATCCTTGAAAAATTTGAAAAAATTTACGAGACTACAAAATTTTTTTATTATTGGTTCATCAGGATGTGAAAAATGCAAATACACCAGAATGAAACATTCAACATTGCCTTTTTCTCGTGGTGCACTACGTGGTAAGAATGTTTGATTTTCTAATAAAAGACAAACAGTTTGATATATAATAAGACACGGTTTAGTATTATATTGAACAAAATTGATAATTATATTAACTTTTAAGATTATAATATTTCTATTTTTCATTATCTTTTTTCTCATACTTATTTACAGTTTGTGTAACTTAATCACATGTAAGGTACAATATGTTCTGAAAAGTTTTTTATTAACTATAATTTTAAAAGTCTTCATTTTACTAACAGCTTCGATGAAACTTGATTCCATAGCATCGATTGCATCCAAGTATGAAAAAATGCTTATTTAGTTACAAGAGTGATAGATTTGAGCAAAATCTATCCTATGCAACGTTTCTGTCAAGATAATTTAAATCACGAAACGTAGTATGTGATTTAGGAAAGAGAATTATAATTAAACTCTACTGCAGACTTCTATACAAGGAAAAAACAGCAGAGACTTCACAGTTACAATCCACTACTCTTCATGGCATCGTCAAATGTAAAATTCTTTTTCTTTTTCTTTTTCATACTGAGAATGTCATGCTTTTGTTAGTACAAGTTTTTTTCAAGCACAATTTTTTCTTCTAATTATAATATATTGTAATTCACTTTTCTTTGGAACACGATCGGAAATGAAACTTATCTAGTCATATGTCATCGGAATTATTTTTACAAGGACATTTACGCTGCATAATTCGAAGTCGAGTTCGTATTATTTGAGTGACATCATTAACCATAGCGGCATTACTCGTAGCAGCGAAACTTAATGAAGAATCTTGTTCATTTGAATTAGTTTCAATATTCGATGATAACGATCGAGAATATTCACTAGTTCTATGTAATATATCATGTGCATTTTGATCAGAAACAAAATTTACATTTGTAGCAGCATCTAAACTATACAATAGGATTCATTTAAAAGAGATCCAATCGTTTAAACCTGAAAAGTTTCGATTATTGAGCAATGTATTGCAAAGACTTTCGTTTGTTTGTTCATGAATATTAGTTGATGGCATATCAAGTGATTCATTAATAGATAACATAGTTGATATTTGAGGAGGGCCTTAACAATAGGACAGATTTTTCAAATTTTACTTTTAAATTCTTATGTAATAAACTCAATTTGTCATAAACGAAGACTTTCCATTTTCTATTGTGTTCGAACTCACACATTGAACATGCATTGAATGAATTATTATTTTTGTTCTATTCGTTGCCGTAAATTTCGATTGAAAGAATTTTTCAGAAAAGATTAAAATCATTTAGAAAATCGAAGAGGTTAGTTTTTAAGAATTTTGAAAACTCATAAAATAACGTACACCTCAATTTATCGAGTTTTTTCGCTAAGAATCTAAAATAAAAAATCTTTGAAAATCAGATCTATTTTTATGTAAATGTATACATTCACTTTTGAATTTTGCAGTACATTAACATCTTAGATCAAATCTTCTTTTATGTGAAGTCCACCTTTCGTCTACTGAAATAATGTCATATGTGAAGAAATTTGCCGTAGATTGATTTCGATGGTGATTCGGAATTTATAGGTGAAAAATCAGAGTTATATTCTGTATATTGCTGTTTGTCATTTGATGAATTGTGTGTTTGTGCATCATTACTGGAAACTTTGCTTATATCAGAACTAAAACCTACGTTTGTTAAAAATATAATAATTTAATTAGTATACTGAAACACTTATATACCCTCTGGCAATACACATGATGATGAAGTTTTGATCTGTTGGATGGAAAATAATTTATTAATTTTTCCAAAACAAGAAATAAACTAGCTTTTTCATTCATAAGAGAGCTTCGTGTTGAAGATGAATATAGTATTGCGCTCGATGGTCTTGACTAAATAAAGTCGAAAAACTTAACAATACGAAATTCAATCAAGTTGCTGACGGTATTGTTATCGAGTTCACGTCTAGACGATGAAAATAAAAACGAATGTTTTCAATTGAAAAATGTAATTGAATTTTCTCAACTTGTAACATGGTTTTGATCCAAAAATATCTTGGATATGAAATAAATGATTGTGTCGATTTCTATGAATTAATCTATGTTCACAACAGGCTATAATTTCATCTTCAAATATATCATTTATATAAAATTTTAATTTTAATTTTGTTTCATTTCGATAACGTTTTGATTTAAATTTTAGCTGATCTTCTCGCAGATAGATCTACCTATATATGTAATATTGCTCTTAAATAAAATTTCAAAAACTTTACCGCCACATTTCACACATCCTTTAAATACTATTCGATCTTACTTCATCAGCATGTCTTTGTTGAGCATTCGAATTCTGATATTTTAATGTGACTAAGCAAATTTCTTTTTGCTAAAAAAATAAAATATTCAATTATTTGTGTAAGAAAATAGGAACAAGCCGAATCATGAAAATCTTCGTATTCAGAACATGCAGAATTTAATTGATAGTCTCTTAATTCCTATATAATAAATAAATTATAATTTAATTTACAAATAAAAACATACGTTCAAATAAGGTAATACATATTGATATTGTCTTTGAAGATCTTCTTCAATTTGTCTATCGAAATGAGTATAATTATAATATGAATATTTTGAAAAATGAAATCGATTTACAAGTCATGCAAATCCCGAATCAATCGGTGTCGCTCACGTGTCAAAAAATAGCTCACCGATTGCAACAAAGATACTTGCACTCTATTTCCTTGTCTTATATATTTATGTAAATATGCATCAGACTCATCGCATATTTATAGACAAATCAATAGAAAGAGAAGAGAACGCAAAAAAAAGTAACGAAACTTCGTTTTTTCTTGTAGATATCTACCAACAATATCTATGCTTTTTTCCTTGCTATTAACATTATACGAATGAAAGTCAAAGAATAGATGCGAATGATAACGTTCGAAAAAGAACATAGAAAAAAATACGAAGGAAATCTCATCGAATATTAGTTTTTGACAAGTATTTAAAGTATTTTTAGCTTTTTATTCATATTAAAAAATATATCATCAAACATAAGTAATCACGAGCTCTTTTACATGCACTATATTCTAGGAAATATTTAAGAAGATGATTTAACTTAGACTTGACACAACGATCTCAATCTATCAGAAGCAGTGTGCCAAGTGAAATATCAAAATTTTATATACGTAGATCTACATTGCTACTGTAGAAAATCTGCTTTTTTAAGCCAACTAATTCCTAATAAACCTACTTTTCTAATCTAGGTAAGTTTTCTAAATTAATCGCTCTGCAATTCGTAGCATTATTAGATATCCAGCAGTCGGACGTTTCACAATGCTTACAATTCTCTTTTTCAAACTTATTATATTCAAATGATACTTGCATGGATACATATTGAATCATCCTGTCAGTTTTCACTGTAGTCATAGTTTACTCAATGCTTGATTAATTATTCTCGTCTATTAATTTTTGGATAGATTTAGCAAGCTACTAGAGAATCTATATAATTATTTATTTCAATTAGTTTTCCTTTCAAATTATTATATAACATACGGACAAGATTTCGAAAAACGTTTTAGAAAAATGATTTTCCACCAATGAATAAAGTATATTTCTCGAATCAAAATTATTGACATAAATATTTTCAGAATCTTCTATGTCTTGCTAAGAACTCCTTGTAAGCAAACCCAAAATCAAAAGTTTGACATCAGTTAAGAATACTTTTTTGCAAGAGTATATGACTTCGCTTTTTAGTAATCAGAGTTCTATTTGAGATTATACCAGAAAGCAGAATGAGGATGAAGCCATCTCTCAGCTAATATATAGATCGAAATCTTCGCTTTATAAAGTAGCAGTCAACAGAATTTATGCCTCTGGTGCCAGTTAAATGACATTGTTGCATACTCTAACTGCCACACAGTCTGTGTGACACAGGTTGTCTTTTTCTTATTAACAATTCGATAAAAGTAGTAGTCCTACTTGATTATGCCTATTTAAACTATACGATGAAATTCTACACCTCATTGCTCAGCTCTTAAGAACATCTGATTCAGAAATCAAGTATTTGTTGCAATCGAGTTAAGTCGTAATTAAATTATCTCAAGGTCTTGTCAAAATTCGAGATAAATTTCGTATTAAAACCTATCAAAAAGAATTAATTTAATTTTGTAAGCTCGTTCGACCAGCTTAACTTAGTTTATTTTATCATACCTTAAAATGTCCTTAAATTCATAGGTAACTTATATATATATCCGGAAAGAATAGAAGAACAACAAGAAAAAAAGAAAAAGAAATACAATAATAGTAACAATAGAGTAGAAGTGGAAGGGAAAGCGAAAGAGAAGACCAAGAGCATGTAGAGGGCGAATCGCCGTTAACAAGTTTATTTTCAACTTACATTTATTTAAGCGGAAACACAGAACTAAATTAATTCATCCGATAATATACTATTAGTAATTATTGCGCCTATTTTATCTCTTTTTATATGACATTCCACAGTATTCTGGAAAACCATTAAACTTGATTATTTATATTACAAGTAACGTTTATTCCCACGATTCGCTTGATTCTCGACTGAATTCTATCTAATCATCAACTATCTCTGCTTTCTATATTCTGTTTTGAGTCGTCGATTCTCAGTGTTTTCCTGCGGTAGCCGACCCAAACTTCTCGACCTGAGAGTATTTCATAGAGTGATAAAATTGAAGAATGTTTCTATCGATAACAATGAATATACGAGATGTTTTATTTCAATATATAAAAATATAAGACACGATTAACTTCCCATGTGTTTCATTACGATGAAACTGTGGCGCAGTTACGCCGTAACTGCGATCGCACTGTGACCCGTAATTGCGGAAAATTACGACGTAGGTACGCGTAACTACGATGAAAAGATCGCAG